AGCTCTTTGTAATAATTTGATCATTTAATTGGCATTTCTGTGAAATATAATAAGAAATCTTTAAAAAAAGCTGTGTTTTTTTCATGTCAGTTTGTTGAGACATTAGTTTTTTTTTTTTTTTTTTTTTTTTTTTTTTTTTTTTTAAAGCAGGCAAGATGAAAAATTAGCAACGCCTTCACCGGGAATCGAACCGCGGACCTCTGGAATATGTGCCCAGCGTACAGACCAGCACACCACGAAGGCACGCCAAGAAGGCTTTTAAAGGGCAACTGCAGATTTTAGGGAACCCAATCGCCAAATCCTGGGTGTGGAGAAACATCATCCAACACCCTTTTAGTTCGGGCGCCACTGTAGTCTTTCTCTTCTTTTCTACATACACTAGAATAGACCCTGTAATGACCTAGCGAATTCTCGCACAAGCATGAATAAAACTACTGACTCAGACGAAGGGTAAAAATAATCCTTTATTAATTCAAAATAGTTAACAGAAAGGCACGGTCTTCGTGCGTTACAAAAAACACCATCAACTTGCGGTGAAAATAGAATGGTAGAATATAATGGAAGTCAAACCTAAAATAAATAGTGCAAGATAGCACTTAAGTACGCCTAATAGGTGAACTCACAAGAACCTAACCGGCGTGATGCTAAAATCTGATAATGCCAAAAGGCTTACTAGCGTAACAGCGAAATAACAAAGAAACGTGCGCTTAGCTAGCGAAACACGCTCTGAATAATCTGAGAGATTCACCCATTTAAACAAGCATTTCACTTAACTTTAAATTTATATCCTGGCGAGAGAATGTGAGGGGAAGTTGAGAAATCTAGTACAGGTATCAAACTTAAAATAAACTTATTATGCAAAATAAGGAAAATCCTACAAGTAAACATATTTCAGTTAATTTTTGCAATATTGAAAAACTTTTAACTGAAAATAGAGGTGCGTATTTTAATAGTATACTGTATTAAGGAAATTAAAATATATGCAGTTTTTCCAAGAATTTTGCACATAATTGTCTGTTTTCAAAAATTTATGAAATAGTTCCTAAACATTTACTTATTTTCGTAATTTTAATCAAACTGGGATTAAATCAATATATGTTTAACCAGTATTCTATGCTTTTTAAAAAAAATATTCCGAACTTAGGCAGATACCATACATTTCTGGAGATTAATTTTTAAATTAGCTTATCGCAGCTGTCCAGTTTGGAACTATTTCAGTTATTAAACAAGAAAAAAATTCAAAGATCAGATTACAGTTTTTAAATTTTTTATAATTTAAAACTTTAAAATTTATTTTAAATATTTTTAATAGTAAACTTTTTTGAGGTGTAGTAACAAATTTTCAAATTGCACTGAGTTAGAGAAATTTAATGTTAAAGCATTTAAAACTTGTTAAGACAAAATTTGTGTGTCAGGTACTCTATGGCTAATTATATAATATTTCATTGCCGTCAGAGAAACTAAAAAACAAATTCAGAAAGATCGGTAGTAAAAGCAACAACTTAATGATAAATTCAGCAACTCTTTTATACCTAAAAATAGAAATTAAACATTTCTAATTGTATTTATTTCGCATGAAAGAAAACAATGACTAAAACCTAACATGAAAATATTTCTTGATCTGAGTCTAAACTCTATTTTTTATACGTCTAGTTCAATGCAGATTTGACGAAAAGCTTACATTTAATTCTGATTTATTTCATTTAGCAAGGAATAAGAGACTGTAAACATTCATCTAATAATGAAAACGCATTTTAAAAATGTTTGAATGAATTTTCCTTTTCATAAAACACTTCTTTTTTCTGCAATATAGTTTTGCAATGCTGACAACCTTAATGGTGTTTAAAGAGCGTCTAAATTTACGCTTAGTATTCTCAACAAATGATATTTTTCTTCTGTTAACATATACTCATTTCCTTGATGGATTAAACGTTTTATTGTTAAAGCCAACCTATTCTTTAAAAGATATGTTTCGTGAAAAACCTAAAAATAGTCTTTTCACTCAGACTTGATGTGAGATTAAATTTAAACTCTTGAACTCAGACCTCATACATAGTTGAATAACCTGCCTTACTGATGATTTGTAGATACAGTTGACGTAACAGTATCGAAAATACTTTACAACCAGTTTCTATTCCCACAAAAATTTCTTACTCTCTCTTTGACCTAGAATAACTTAAAAGGTCGGTTGAGATCAGCACTCTTCCATACCTTTGTTTCGCTTGTTCGTGAATAGCAATGATCAGTTCTTTTCGTTAATCTAATGCCATATCATTCCGCTCGCGTCATTGCCGTCAGTTGTCAAGAAATTCTGGAGGCCTTTGTTTATCGGTTACGGTCATGGTTGGTTTTGAAATTTGATCATGGATAAGAATAATGTTTCTGTTTTGACTCATAAGCACCATATTCGGAGGAAAACTAGAATTAGCGGTATTTAGTTTTAGTAGTAATATTTGAATAAAGGAAAGGAGAATAAACATATCAAGACAGTTTTTTTTCTTTATAATTAATTACTACAGGATGTTTCCTGTTTCGACATATTTAAGGCATTTGTGAAGAATTAAATACTATCAAGGCGATTGTAGTAGTAAGATAAATGCTTTGAATTTTTTGAAACGTATGTAGTCAGCTGCAAAACGTAAAAAAAAATTGTGTTTCTATATAACTAATGGAAAATACAAGAAACATTTTTCAAAACATCAGTTAAAATTAATAAAATCTACTATTTCTACTTATGTACACTGAATATTGTATCGTTTCAGTTGAATTTATTAGTATGTATATAACTCAAGTTATTTATGAAGCTTACTTTAGTTTTGAGTCTGAAGCTTAATATTTTTTTAAATTCTTATCGTTTTCACAAAGTTGCGGTCAAGATACATTAGTTTATTTTATCATATTCTGAAGTTTTCAATTATTAAAATTGTAATTTCGCAGTATCTTGTTTCTTGCACGATAATGTATTGTTTCTATTGTTTCTTTGCATTATAGTTCTTCAACTTAGGCTTTTCTCTTTTTCAAACTTCGCTACACACTTGCAGAAGAAAGATTAATTTGGAAACTGTTAATAATTTTACATAAAATTTGTTAATTTTATTATTATGAAAGAAATTTAAATTCTGCGTTTTTAGATGCATTTAGATTTTCCCTGTTGTGAAATATATAAACATAATTTCTAAATAATTCATTTATGTTTTAGGTGTTTATATAAATCGTGCTTTTTACGCCTGGAGAGTACGCATGTAAAACCCTCAGAATGTGTACTTCTAAACAGTAAACTATCATAATTATAAAGAGCTAGTTTCGTTAATTACGATTTAAAATATGAACTTTGCGAATGATTTAGAATTTACTCAAAATTCAAATGTTTTACTCTAAAGATACTGTATGGCAATAGATATTACTCTAACAATCAAACTAATAAAAATATAGCTCGACGTTAAATGTGTACTCAATGGTTAAAAACAGATGAAGCAACTGCACGTGTATATTTTTTTCCTCCCTTTAAATGATTAAAATAATTATTTAGGATGTGATGAATTGGGTCTTTTTTCCCTCTTTCTGTACTCTTTTGATAAGCTAAGCGGAAGTTTGATTTTAAGATCAAACCTTTCTTTAAAAAAAATCAAGCCATTTCTTTTCTGGTTCCAGCAATTTATAACAGATGTTATTAACAAATATTTTCATCATTTTCACTACAGATTTTCAGCATTTTTAGGTAAGCTTAAAAATGCTGAAATTATAATAGGCTATTATATTAATAGAAATTATAATAGGCTTTCTTAAACTAGAAAGCAATTCCAATGGGGAGAAAACGAGAAACAAATTATGTTTTTTTAATAGATTAATGAGGTTGAAAGCGTCTGTTTTTTAAAATTAAAATAAGAGGTAATAAATTTTAGAATTTATTTTCTTATCTATTCACTTGCCATTGAACATAAGCTTTATATCAAACATTATACCTAGTTGTGGAATCAGCTGTTGGATGCAAAAGAGATGACAACCCATTACTGAATAATAGTTTTTGAAACATTAAAGAAGGATATACTAAATATATTTAGTATATAATATTTTATCTGCAATGAAATCCTTTTAAAATATTGCTGAATAAGATAACTATTTGAAGGAAAATTATCATTTCGACTGCAAGCTAATTATGAACTAAAAGTTTTACAAAACAAAGGATTTCTGAAAATAGAAAACTTTAAAAAACCTATTCCAATTCATGATCTTATGTTTTCGGACGTTGAATAATAAACAATAGTGGGGAAATGTTGTCTCCGGGCTTTACGTTAGACGAAAGAACATTTATTATTTCAATATTAATGGATTTAAAACTCGAAGGTTTTATATTAAGTTCATGACTGCAGTAAATTTCAGCTCTTGCGCTATTGGTAACCAAATATAAATTTTGAAAAAAAAAAAAAAAAAAAAAAAAAAAAAAAAAAACGGATTTACCCACGTACGTTTCTTAAAATCCATTTCTGAAATAATATGGAAATTGTTTCATAAAATAATATCTTCTGCCATTAATTTTAGGCAAAATCAAACGACTTCTTAAAATGTTTTTAAAGAGTATTACACTTTTCAGACAGATTTTAGTGAAAACGCTAAGTATGGAAGCCTGAGAGTAACATCATTTTCTCTAACAGCTATTCAAAAAGATTTAGAGATGGTTGAAAAATGCAGTTTCTATTTTGAAAGTAGGTTAAACTCTTCAGTTTAAAATATACTAGAATTACTGCACTTCTTGATATTACAAATAAAAAAGATTAAGGTGCGTAAAAGAGTAATTGTGTGAAAAACAATTATATTGCCTAACGCTTAAATACATTATAAGTAAATAAATAAATAAAATGAGTATCTACTTCGCATTTATAAATGGAGTGGAATTAAAACCCACGCAATATCGTGGGATTTTCTGTAATATTATAAACTTATGCATTTGATAAGAACTAAAATTAATTACACAATTTCTTCTTTCACAGATTTTTAATGAACTTAACAAAACTGACATAAAACTGGACATAAAACAACAAAAAAATAAACAAAATATTCACAAGCGAAAATACATTAGTTATTTTACAAAATACTGAATATGTTTAATGTTCAAAATTTTTGAAGTCCTTGCAAGAAAGTCCTTGTTTAATTCGTAAAGTAGAGGCCCAACATTTTTCAGATTTAAATACTCGTAGAGTAAACGCAATTCCTTTTCTTCTATTCTGCTAATGCATATTTCGTTCACACGAATATTTATGGTTAACAGACCTTTCGAAATAGTTCCTTTTCAACACAGAGGTAAAGCACTTCTTTTCAAATATTAAAAATTAAAAAGGATTAATTATTTGGCTTGTTGGATACTATATGGCAACAGACAATTCCTCTAACATTCAAACTAATAAAAAGATGGCCTGACGTTTAACCTCTTACAAATGGATAATGCAACCGGCATTATCTTTGCCTCTGTTTTTCTATAATAAGTCTAACACTGCAAAACATTAGCTGTTTTTATTTCAGATCATTTTTGTAAACAGATTTACAAATAGAACAGTGTCAAAACAAAACGTGAAATTATACCCAAATTCAAAATGCAATTTTGAAAAAAACGTTTCTCAAAATATTTGTCTTTAAATAACAACATTGTACAAAGTAACAAATTCGCAAAAGTTCTACTCTATGAAACATCAGAAATTAACACGTTCACTGTGCATCTGTATTCGCCTATACATTTTTTATTATTAGAAACAGCATGAAAATATTCATGTATCAAAATATCTGCGGTCAGTTTTTAATAATGATAGTAATAACGATTATTTTTAACTTTGCCCTAACCTACTAGTCGGCTGTTATTTTTCCAGATATATAGGACAATTCAAAAAGTTTTAGACTATTTTGAAAGTAGGTTAGCAATGCAAAAAATAAATTATTTTTACACGGAAACGAGTAGCTAAGTACCCCAAACGCGCATGTTATAGGACTTTTGATTTAATAGCTATTAAATAAGAGTAGGGTCATTCTCATTTAAAGCCTTGTTGTTGCTGGAATAGGTTGCATCATTGTAGTAAAACTGAACTGGTTAATACGCACTTATGGGACAGAATAAAAATGCTCTCTTATAAACGCATATTAACTAGGTAAAATAAAGAATAAGCTCCTGTTAGACATGCAAAAGAGAAAATAAAATAACCCATAAGCACATATTAGCTACGTAAAACACAATCGCTTTTTGGCATAATCGGTCTTTGCCAATCTAAGAACAGAACACATGAACATACTATGTAACAGACGCAGGGTTCTTAAACAGACGCACGCAACATTATCAAGCATTTACGTAATTTGCACAATATGTTTTGAGAAGTAGACACTTTGAGATAAACAACATTGTGTTCGAGAACGAACAAAACGCTTATTTCTCGTTGTAGGAGCAGAATATACAGAATTGAACAGAATTCACACAAAAGTACACGAGCTGTTTTGTATTACTACAAGGAGGTTCCTCAATTCTCTATAAAGCGAGTATTATACAATGAAACTTACAGTCTCTTAGCATGCACCTTTAAAAGCCTTGAATACGACAGTCTCGTAGACTATTTCTAAGATTGATTTCATTGAAATGCTTTTGCAAAACAGTCTAGAGAAGATTGTCAGTTCGCCAACCTGTGTATCGAAATTGCGAGGCATTTACTGGTACAGAAGGGATGAATGTAAAGTCAGTCTTCTGATACTATAAGCATATAGTATCAAAAGTCTATGTCATACTATATATCTAAATGAACATTTTGTATTTCCTGCCCTGCTTTCTTATTCTTCCTGCACTTTATTATGCTAAGAAACGGTTGGGGCTCGACTTTCTATGCGTCTCATTCCTGACATAATGCTAAAATATGCGTAAGACTTTTTGAATTTTTATATATCAGCGGCATTAATTAAAAGGTTTGAATTAAAGGTTTGAATTTTAGGACACATGAAGCTATCTTTTTCCATGTATGCAGTTTTTTAACTATGGAAATGTGCGTTTCATTATTAACATTTTACAGTTTTTCAAGTTAATTTTTTACATGGTTATTATATTAGGGCTCATCTGGTTTGAGCAATTAACTGTAATGGCATTAAATTTATTTTCTGGTTTACTTCTTATTCTTGTAGTAAATTGACTATTACTGAAAAATGTATGTAAAATGATAATAAAACTACGTAACTTTAAATAAATGATTCCATACAAGTAAAATATTTTTTTCCAATTTATCCTTCACAAATTTTAAAGCTTTATCTCAAATTTTACCCCCATGTTTTCTTCAGAAATGAGCAATATCTTTTATCTACAATCTCCCTTAAAGCACAGAACTCTAGTGATTTTTCGTAATAAATTCTTAAACTGTTCTCAGTGATATATTTTAAATTGCAAATATATTAAAAAAATAAAGCACTTCTTCATTAGTCAATGGTATTATTTATAATTGCACATTCCTATTCAGTTTGTAGAAAACAAAGTAGCAAAAATAATCCTTATGAAAAGGAAATATTTCGTTCATTTGAAACTTAAATCTCTCAGACACTTTACATTAATCCAACCACAACCATACCAAACATATTTACATTTTTAAATAAGCTGAAATTTGTAACAGCTTTGAAAATAATACGAATACGAAATAGGATACATACATTTTCTTTCAGAAAAGGAACAATCACCTCATTTCTTGAGCACATAAAACAACATTACTATTACACATTTTCTATTCTGTCCATTTTGGCACTTCAGATTACTGTCGAACAATCGGTTTCCAGCCATTATAACTTTGAGTTATTTCTGACGAAGAAGGCACGGCTTGACTATATCCGGGTCCATTATTTTGTGCCGATAAAGCATTTAAACTTTTTATATTTCTGGAGTTCTCTTGAAAATTCTGAACACCAGAAGTTACATGAAACTTACTCTGGGAATGCGGCTCAGAATTCTGGTTATGCGTTTGATCATCCGTTCCATATTGTTCACGCAGTGGGTATGGGCTCAACTGAGGCTGCCTTGATATTTCTTGACTTTGAGGTCTAAAATCCCTGCTTTCACTACCGAAGGCATTTTGCTGCCTGTTTTGCAATCTTACTTGCTGAGGTAGATCAAAATTTCTTTGTGGCAGTCCACTGTTGCTGAAGCTTTCTTGAAATACTTGCACAGGAGCACGTTCATCATATGAAATATCTCTCTGTTGGAATTCAAAATTAGATTTTTGTCTCTGTACTGAAGGTCTGGAATGTGATGATCCTGGGCCTCTCTGTGGCATTTGGTTCCACCAGTTAACAGAGTTAACGGGAGTTACTAGCGGCTGGTTAGACGCTGTTCCTTTCACTTCAGGACGGTTTATGAATGTACCATGATTTCTCCCACTATCCTCATCTTCATTTACATGCGGGACAAACCTGTTTCTTTGAGATGGAATATTTTGTTGTTGATGGTGGATTTGTTGGTTTTCATAACCTTGTGGTAATTTAGTTTGTTGGATCTCATCTGTTTGAATTAGTTCTTGAGTATTTGACCCAAATGAATTGGCATCAATGTTTGAAATTTGTCGCTGATTGGGTTTGAAAATGAAACGTTGATTGATACTGTCTCTGTTTCCCTGTTGCTCTGTTTGCCGAATTCTCTGAGGTCCTCTAACCATGCTATGTATGTCTTCAACACGAAAGTTTTGAGTCTGAGGTTCAATATTTCCATTTTCTGTAAAACTATCTGCATTTTTAACCTCGTTAGCTATCTGTGTACGAGATGTTTCATCTATGTTCTGTTGAATCAGTTTAGAATTATCTACAGCTAAGCCTTCGGGAGCTGCAGTACTTGAAGACGTGTGTGGAGTAAGCGTTATGTCTCCAGTTGCCATAAATGCTACGTTCCTTTTTTGAAAATCTTCCAAAGCATTGTGATTGGCTACTGTAGGAGGCGAAATGTCTGGTATTTCAACAAACCGTTGTTGTTCGTAAAAGTTTGGGGTTTCACCATTTTCCTTACTTGCACTCCCTCTAAAAATTTTATCTGTATTTACTACGATTTCCTTTCGAACTTCATCACTATTAGTCTGCACTTGTTCCGGGGCTTGTTGTACTGAGCGCACGGTATATACATCATCTATAGACTTTTGCGGAAAGTGTTGCACAGGATTATTATCAATACCAGTTAGGTCTCTATTATCAAATGAAGCAACCACAGGACCTCCAGATCTACTTGGTTTGGTACTATCAATATTTTCTTGGGAAAATTCAGATGGGAAAATAACACGTTCCTGTTGTTGTTGGAAGGAGCTTTCACCTGCTTCATGCTTTGGGTTTATATTGCCTGAAGAATCGAAGTGAGTTATTTCTTCTTTGATATTTTTAGCACTTTCGCCACCTTTTGAAAAGGAAATATCTTTTACTTGCTGCTGTACCGGATAAGTATTTCGTGAACTATCAAGGGGGCTTCCATTTAATCCATTGTTATCGGACACACGATCTATGGACCCAAATTTTTCAAAAGCACTTTGTTCTATTTCAGGGTACTGGCCTCTTTGGTCTGGAAAAATAACATTTTCTACTGGTTGTTTATTCACTGTTTCTGGAGATAGATCATTTTCTTGATTTGGTATTGTACGCCTAGCATATTCAGCATCTTGGACTTCAGGTGAGGGCTGAATTGTTGTTTGAAATGTTTCATGTACTTCTTTTGCAGGTAGATTTGTATTAATTGATTCTCCGTCTTTTCTGCCTATTTCTGGGTTTAGTTGAAAGTAGTTTTCATCATTAATAAACTGTTGTACATAGCCATTTCCATTCAGCCTAGACTCATCATTATTTGCTGATGCAGTTCCTCTCCTTAGATCTGAGCCTGTAGAAGGAATATTAATTTCTTGCACATTTTCACTTGATATATCTGTTATTTGAGTTTGCGAAGGTATTGAGTTATCTAAATTTTTGTCGTTTGTTGTAACTGCGTCTATCGGTCTCAACTGAGCAGCTGGGTTATCAATTTGTTCATTTATTTGAACCTGAGCATAGTTTCCTTCTAATCCAGAAAATGATGTATCTTCGAAAGGTTTTTGAGAATCTAAGGCAGACTGCGTATCATAGCTGAGTTCATCATGCTGAGAAATTTGATCATTCGCAGTCTGCTGTGACTGACCATTTCCTCCAATTTCTGAATTACTTCTTCTTTGGTCAGAAATAACACTATAATCTTCTTGATTCTTTTGAAATGCATTTTGCTGACCATTATTTGTAATATCGTCCTGGAAATACTGTCCATCACCATAAGCAATATTACCGCCGTTAGTTGTACCGACCTGTCCAAAAGATGATGCATCCACACCTGCACTTCCAGCTAAAATGCTTGACGGTGTGAAATTATCTATATCCCAGTAAAGCTGAGCATTTAAATTGTAGAATGCTGGGGTATCCGCACAGTTGAAGTTGTACCACCAGTCACATACGAAATACTGTTGATTAAAAACAGTGCCATTTGGACAAAGGAAAGAATCTTGACCACCATTTGCTTTGCAAACATGGAAAACCTGAAATTAAGGAAACACGAATTTAAGTTTTAATAAAAAGTTTAAAGTTGTGAATACAGAAGATACATTATAGAACTTTGAAAATGAAGCCCATTCATTGTGCAGTTCGAAAATTTCATAACTAAGCGCATTCAATGTGATATATCAGCACATTTTGAATTGTTAAATGTTTATTATAAAACACTGAAAAATCAGCTTCACTTCTTCCAGTTTCTTACTTAAGGTATTTTCTCTCTCCTTCCAGCATACCTTCGTGGTACAACGGTACATACTTGGCGCGTATTCGAGAGGTCCAGGATTCGAGCTCCGACGAGGGCAATGCACATTTTTCACGTTTCTAACAGCAAAAATACCTAATGACTCTACAAGTTAAGTAATATACGTCTTCAGTACAGTTTGTATTCAACTTCATAATGCCAATATTAATGCGAAGGAAACCCTTTAAAATTTTAGTGCCACATTAATGAAATTTCTTGAAGAGAAAATCTTCGTGAATCTTAGTTTTAAAGCACAATTTTATTGACGTATTTTTGCTTGCTATTAATGGAATATTGACGTATTGACGTATTTTTGCTTGCTATTAATGGAAGCTTTAGAGAAGATTTTTTTTCTATATAAAGAACATTGATATTCCATTCATCAGCTCATGTTGAAATAAATGATTATAAGCATTCAGTCTAAATATGTAAAGCTAAAGAAACCGATTATTCTATTCTCAATTAACAATCGTACTGAAATTAATTATTTTAGCCATTCAGCATAAATATTTTAGTCCTTTAATCATTAACTACCATTCTAAATAGGAAGTAAAGAAATTTCCCTGCTCTAATTCTCCCATTGATTATTTACAAAGGTAAGAAAAGAGAAAAAAGTTTTTGGTACAGAGTTTTATTTCACCAAAATTTACACCAATGAGAGTCTTGTTTATATTATTTTTGAATCTTTGGACCCCATTCAGTTTTGTACTTAAATTCCGAAACTCCTTACATCTTTTATTGTGGCAGTTTTTAAGCTGCATCAACTACTTACATGCATCACACCTGTTTGCCACCATCTTTACATCCATTTGCAAATTTTACGAGCACTATATGCGGTTTACTATTTAGTTCTTAAAATTGAAGATTTTTGTCCACATTCTAGAGTAAAATATCACGATGCATTTCCAGAGACAAATGGTGCTACAGAAGCCCAATTTCCCTATTGAATTAAAGCTGAATTTAGCCTCTCCAGGAAATTTAAATCTCTTGCATTTGCTAAGTACATTTTATAAAATATTTGTAACATTTATAAATATTTATAATATATTTCGACTTATACATTTGAAATGAATTATTCTATCACGAAAAAAGAATGTGTTAACTGCAATACACATGTATCTCACATACATGTGCATTGCAGTTAACTGTATATTATACAATGTTTCACAACATACAGATATTTGTAAAAGAACTTGGGAATTGCTTTTAACACGATTGCTTACGAGAGAAGCTGGTGACCTCAGAATTATGGATTTCGCATCAAATCTGCATAAATATCGAAACATTAAACCCAAGATATTTGAATTTGGCGCGCATCTTTGTGAAACCAGCAAGAAAATCTAAGTCCTAATCAGTATTCACATTATTTCAGCTCCTTCATTTAGTGTAATTATCGGTTGTTTGTTGTTAATGAACGACAGTGCCGACGAGGAATCCTCAGACGAAATCAACCCGCTGGTAAAGCCTTCTTTTTAATCAATATTAGTAATTCCGTCAACATTTATTCTGAAAGTACACTTATTCCCGAAAAATATTTTCAAAGAAATAACTCGAAAAACGGATTTTAATATTTATGAAGGAAAGGTCCCATTTTTAAGGCTTTTCTAAGCAATTTTAAGTATCGAAAAATTTTAATTTCCTCATTTTGGTAGCTCTACATAGTTTCTACACTACAAAATGTCTCACGAAGGATAGTATTGAGAAATTGTGCCGCCTGTGACATGTCATCATCACCATTTCCTGCTAATGTCTCAACCAGCTTCTTTTCTTTACAAAGTGCTTCTCAAGCTATTTTGCTCCATACACCCTTTTTCAACATTGCCAGAAGACCATTCCCTTATTTTCGGAATACTTAACAATTAAATAAGAGGCCGACAGCATTCCCTCCTGAAACTAGGAAGTTCGCATAAATGGAATAACCTCCTAGTAGCCCTCCCTTATAACTTCCAAGCATTTCTCTTGAACTTTTATGCATAAATGTATTATGTATAAACGTGCAAGACCTTATTCTTGACTTTCATCTCTCAGAATGTAGTAAATAACAAGGATAATTAATGAAAATATTTCGCCAATTTTCTAAAATGATTACGCACTTGTAAAGCATAAATACAAAATGGAGAAATAAGGATCTATCTTAATATCCGAAATATGTAAGTCAGAGGTTTTTATCAATAGCCATGAAGTGAATTTTCCTCCAATAATTTGAAAAAAGCGTTGTTCTTTGCAATCCTTCTCCGAGCAGTTTTGATATACCATCATTTATTCAAGATGTCTGCTTTCGATAGTTTAGGTTTTGTAAGTTTTTATGATAAATATACTAAAATACAAATAAATTAGGGAAAACGTGCGGTAAGTTTGAATAAAACAAAAAAAAAATTGCTTTTTCTTATTGTTAAATTTTTATGCTATAATACATGTTCTGTTTTACTCCCTAAAACATTTTACGTGAATAAATTTCCTTTCTGAAAACTTTATCAAGCGTTATCTTGAAGGACTGAAAATTTTAAAAGCACCAAAAACGCTTTGCGAGCGGTTGAATTCAAACTGTCCGTAAGCCCGTAAAGCCACTCGTTACCATCTAAGCTTCCATGTACTGCAGAAAGAATTGCATTATATGAATGTCACTTTTAATTTAAGCTAAGATTTTTTTGTTTGTTTGCGAAAATGCATTGAGAATTTGAAAACATATTTACTTTAGAATCATGCAGAATGTGAACGAACAGGGAGAGAGTTCGATATTATATGGTTTATTTGTTTGTCTTACAAACTGAATCATGAAGCAGTTTTATAAGATACAGTTTCATTCGGCAGAAGCAACGGAGGATAAAAATATTAACAACGCTTCTTTTCTGTATAAAATCATAGAATTCTATACAAAAAGTGAATATTTTACAAAAAAAAAAAAAAAAATCAGAATCTGGAAAGTGTCAGATATTTCACTTATGAACAAATAAAAATCATTTTTTCAGAACTTTAAAAAACATCCATTCAATTTGAAGCACTGAAAAATTCATATAGAGCTTAGAGACCATGTTTTAACAAAACGTTAATGTACTCCTATGTAAGAAATGTTAAAAAACAATCTATTTTTGGTATTTTCAATGTGTTGACAATGCTTAACGGTAATTGTTCAGGAAGAATCTTGAGTTCAAATATCGAAACATGAGTTACTTTTAGATTATTATGATTAAATTCTCTTAATTTTTTATTTTATTTTACTTAAAAAATGTTTTCATGAAAATATCTTTAAAGGAATACTGTGAAAAATTAAACTGATTTTCAGTAATTTAAAAAAAGAAGAGAAACATAGAAATTAACTTTTGTCCCTTTGCTATTCTTGTGACATTATACATTTCTAAAGGTAAATCAAAGCTTTTATCAAAGATATATGTATTATAATATTTTACTACTGACAAGAATATACTTTCTGATTTTTTCTTTGATAAATCATCAAATGAATGTTCTAACTCTCGAACCAATGTTAAAGCCGTTATAGTTAACCCTGGACTACTATTAGCTAAATGCAGAGAAAAGTTTAGGAGTGTTAACTGACTGAAAACTATAATAAGTCGTCATTATTTGATCAGCAGATTTCCGAAATATTTTATGCTTTTATTTATAAATATTATTTATAAACATAAATAAATTGATAAATTTTAAAATTTTATTTATCAATATTTTCCTTTTAAGTTATTTCCTACGAATCTAAACAAAAGATACAGGAATTTTAGTAAAATGAATTAGCTCAAATGAAATAAAACTTTTGTGCCATCTTATTTTCACAACTTTCCTTTGAACTACTTTTTATGAATACATTTTCTCAAAATATAAATAAAAATTAAAAAGATTAAAAACCCATTAAACAGCAATAAGAATATAACAAGCAAACGTTTGTTCAATACAAAGGCATGTAAATGTGGTTATGTCCTACTTCATACTTTACCAGACGAGGCCGTTTTAGAAAATCATCCCCTTTCAGCCTCTTTCTGTGCGGCAGTTTTCTTTTTAGCTTTTTCATTTAGGGTACACATGAGTGTAAAATATGTATGAAATGATGTCACAGTAACGTTCCACGCCTTTGAATTCAGACAATATTTATATATTACTGTACAGTGCATGATAGTGGTATGCACTACAGTAAGCAAAAAAAAGTGATTTGAAAGCATTTCCGTATTGCTAACTTGCTATATGACCACAGTGATTATTAAAGAACATTCACGGCTAAAATACTTTCAGAATTTGATTAAAAAAAAGTAATGCTGCTATCATATTTTTTAATAAAAATGGTTTATTGTTTGACTAATGTTTTAAAAATGTGGGATGTACTGTGAAGACACATATTGAGCCATAGACAAGTAAATAGACTTTTTATAATTATCTTCCAAACAGAGTAACAGTATGGGATTCGTATAGAATATATGTCCTAATTTTATAGCAGAAATATATTTTTTCAGTCTGCCTTAGAAAGCTTTTCTTTTTCTTTTCCGGCTTTCCTTGCCATCAATTATTTAAAATATATGAGTTTTAATTTTAATTTCTGCTTCTAAAGCAAACATTGGGAGAATTTTCTCGCTGAAGAAAACTCGATGGCCAAGAAAGTATGTAATGCGGAATCCAAAAAATCAGTCTGATACGCTCACAATACAATTTTAAACAGTAATGTGCTTTGGTTTGTTTTAATTATAAGCAAAATAAATTATTATAATTACCATAATAACAAGCATAATAATTTCTTTTATAAAAAAAATTACCGAATTATATGTTGTAATAGAAGGTCTATCAGAAATTTCTTTCCCATATTAATATAATTCAAGTTTCATCAAGCATCAATTACGTACGTGTTCATTTGAGACACATATGACTGTCTCTCTTTATCACTGTATTTATACATGTGTGCTCTTCCAAATTAATTGAAACATAAGTGTCTCACGTCAGTATTAAGTGAAATGAAATCATATAAACTTAGCTACCGATGTAGATCCTTTACGACACTATATTTTGCACGAATTTCAACAAAGAAGAGATATTGCTGAAGCATGTCAAAATTTAATGAAAATTTTTGGTGGAAATGCAGTTTTGGATAGAACGTCTAAGAGATGTTTCGAAAAACGTGAAGCAGGTGATTTCGACCTTATATAAAAGCCAAGCTCTAGGCGTACATTTTAAATCGATGACGATATTTTTAAGATCTTGATAGAGCAAGCTCCTTTTTTGAAAATATTGGCGATTGCAAAAAAATCTTAATTCAGCTCAACAAACCATTTTAAAATATACTCGTAAACTAGGATTGGTTTTTAAATATTCCAAATGGGTACCTCAGGAGTTCAATGAGAAAAATGTGCATGATCGTGTCATCGTATGCATTTCTTTGCTTTCTCGGAATAAAAACAAGCACTTCTGATTATAAACAAAAGAAATTATTTTAATTATAATATTAATTAATTTTGTTTATTATAATAATTCTAAATTATAATTGTTAATTATAATTTGTTAAAATAATTATTGTTTGTTATTATAAGTAAAGAATTTTTCCTTGAGGTAAAATAAAAGCTGAAGTGGCACTGTGATGTTTTCACCGATTCTTTTTTACCGAACACCTGCATATTTAAAGAAGTTTAAATTGACACGATATTTTTTTATATCTTCAGAAAACTTAAAGTGAGAAAAGGCTGAAATGTGACATCATGACATAATGTATGCTGTTAAGGATATTATTAATAACTAGAATAACGGTGCAAATGTCATAAAATTACTATAACTTAGAATGTACTATTTAAATATATTGCAAAAATTATAATTCAAATGTCTAATTTAAAAAAATTTAAATTAAGAATAATTTTTAATGCTTTTAATTCACCTAATTAAGTAACTGTAGTTACAAATTTATATATATATTAAAGATATTATTGACAGGCGAATAGCAACACGTTGACAAATGGCTGTTTTCCCCGGACACAAATAAGTTAAGTTAGAGATCTTATGTTTCTAGGAATAGTAGCATTTGGCAGCATGCATGGGTGATAAATTCTGGCATTCTTCATCTGGAACCTGTCTGAATTCAAGAAAACTTCAAAGTTCGAAACATTCTGTTATAAACTACTCTAACGTCAAAATAAGCAAGTGATTCGAAATTAGGATTCTTTATACATACAAAGGACAAATATCATACTAACCAATTAAAGACTTCGATAAATGGACAAAAAAACTTAATACCCGATTTTCTTACTTATTAAGGACGAGATAGAAAAACTATCATTTTTAACAAATGGGTTGCCTTTAATGTTCTCTGTAATTAACGGTAGTTTGGATGAAACGAATGCTTCTGTGTTCATGTGCTTCTCGTGCCGGACAAAATTATTGCTAAAAAATGCTGCATATCGAAAGAAACGTTTACAAATAATAATATTCAAATATCTATGAATTTATATTCTCTAACCTCATTTTCCTTTCCTTTCTTTGGAAGGACAGTTGTATACGATGAGGTGTGGGAGGATATTACGAAGTTTTACTTCGAACTTTTCTGCACAAAATTTAAACAAACCTTAGTTCTTTATAATTTCAATTTATTTTTTAAATAATTTATGTGCATATTTAAACTGCTGTAAAGAAAAAAATTAATTTGGAAACATGATAAAAGGTATGAATGAATCATATTTATAGAGACTGACAATTTTATTATATTTTGATATAGTTGCTACTATGAAATTAAAACTTATAGAAATTAGATAAATGTCTCTTACCTGGCATGATGCATCCATATCACCATATATTCCAGCTTCAAACTGCTGCTGGTTGCAACTGAACGAGGTTTCTGGAACCTTATAAAATATAGGATAATCTACACCAGGATTACCAGGTACAGATTCTTTGAGCCAATCTATAGGATTTCCTAAATAATGATACTGGCCATCATGTCCATTCTGATGATTAAAATTCTCTTCATCTGGAATAACGGATTGACCATTAAACAAAGGAGGACTGTTTGGGGAGTTATACCCATCATTTCTATTTTGATCTCCAAATTGCTCAGATCTTGGAGGGAAATTACTTCTATCATTAAAATTAGTATTAGTCTCATCTATACTCTGAGAAGTTGGGTAAGTGTTTTGGTAAGACCTTTGTTCTGGAGGTACGTATTCCTGTTGCCTACCAGTTTCATCATATGGTGCAGCCAAGTCTAGATTGCCAGTGTGTGTTTGGGTTTGTTCATCCCTGAAGAATTCTGATTGCTTATCTTCATTTTTATCCTTATTGATACTAACAATGCGATCCTCACCTGGAAAACTATTAGAGATATGTTGGCTGCCAAATGATGAGCTGAACCCATTATCCTTTTCTGGTACAGAAATTTCAATTTGTTCTTGCGAATGCTCTTCTGAACGTGAGAATGTATCAAATTGCTGTTGTTGACCAAATCGCTCATCTTGCGCTTGATTACCATTTCCTTCATTAGAATAGCTGACATCACTGCTGCCATAATTGATTTTGGAAGCACTTTCATCTGTTAGCTGTACACAGCCCCCTTTCACGCTGCAAGATGCTGATGAAAAATCACTATTCTCATGAATCCGAACTCCAAAAGACGAATCTTTTGAAGACGGGTTGAACTGCTGTTGAGACTGATCTCTAGTATATGTAATCTCATCAGCTGGTAATAGGCCAGTCGAGGGGTATTCTTCTTGATTTGTAACAATTGCTTCTTGTTGATTCCCTTGCAAGTCTGGAGACACTTCAGCAGGCTGGTTCTCTAGCTTAACTTTTTGTTGATCAAGCGAAACAGAACTATGCCTATTATCATCCAGATAACCTGTATGAGCATCCATGTTCTGTGCTTGCTGCTCCGCAATAATCCTACCCTCATGGTTTTCACCTTCGCTATGGTCTGTTAACTCCTGGCTTACTGGAGAGGTTTTAGTCCAGAATGGGCGATTATTGTCACTTCCACTATTTACATTTTTACCCTAAAATGCAAATTTATTCATATTAATATTTACACAAATGAAGTAAAAATTTTCAACTTTAATTTACATGGTAAATTGTATTATGACAGTTGGTTTCAGAGAACTAAGAAGTAAAACAGACTTAAAAATTTGACTTCTTTCAAACTATGGATTTACGTTTAAAGAATTTAAATTTGATGAATTCTTGGCTTTTTTTGCATTATTTTGAATTCATTTACCATATTATTGTCATTTTCGAATGGTTTAATTACCTATTTCTCTATAAATCAATAAACAGTAATTTTAGTCTTTATATTCGTTTTCGGAAAAATTCACGAGAACATTACTTTACTAATTTATTTGTAAATGCAATAGAGTGTAATTATTCGTCTTTAACAATACTAAAAATTGGTCGCATAACCAAAAACGTTAGATAACATAGAATTGCCAAAGACTGATTATTAAACTAAAAAAGCTGAGAATGAAAAAACATTTTATTGTAAACTTGGAACAATAATTAAGCAAATGACGGTCCTCATACAATGAAATCTATCTATAATTATAACTTTTTATACCTGCAATAGTGAACTTAATTCATTTGAGGATTAAAGTAAATCCATTGTAATACACAATTCACCAAGAAGGCTGAGCAATGGGATAGAAATATGCTGAGATGAATGTATATTAAAATTGTATATATAAATGTATTTCTTAGATGATGAATAATAAACATTTTTGGCACGATTATGTCGGATAATTAGGACTGTTCTTATGATTAAGCAAAGTACCATTTGCAACTTTTATTCCTGGTTATTTTGAGGTACAATTATATTATGCATATATATTTATACACTGTGGCCACTTGCTTTTGCAGCCGTTGGCCACAGATACATACTTCTAGCCAGAGAAATGCTTTAAATGAACAAAATACTTAGGTTTTAATTTAAAAATGAGTAATTTGCAAAAATTAAGTAATTTAACTTTTTATATGATCTCTAATCTATGCAGTTAAGTACAGTAAAGGTTTATATATGTTCTAAAAAATAAAACATGAAATGTTTGATTCCTGTAAAATACATAATCAATTAAGATATTTAGTTTCAAATGTTGAGATCATTCTGATGTCGTGAACGAATTAAATTCCATTTCTACAAAACTAAATCAAAATATTAGTTTAGAAAAAGGTTTGTGATATTAATAGAACAAATGACGTGGATTTCTATGCAGGCTGTAAAGAAAAGCAGTAATCAATATAATTTTTATTTCAAGAAGTATATATTATTCACATAATCTTACAGAATTCGTATTCTACAAAACAATAACTGGCCCACAACCAACTCCTTTCCATAAATTAAAAACTCAACGTGTTTCTAGTTGAATGAGTTTTTTGTGTAATAACTAGATTGTGGTTTAAAAGTCTAAAATTTTGAAAATATTAGAAATATATTTTAGCTTTTGAAAACTTGTAAATTACTTGCAAGCTAGTACAAATTCTTTTGGCATACCATATATAACCAAATAATAATTATTTGTTGCACTAATATCACTATATTAAAAAGAACAAAAAAAAAAAAAAAGCCTCCAATTATTCTAGTTACCGGTTCCGCAAGAAAAACCGAAATATCCGGTTAAAAACGTTTTATAAATTAAATATAATTCCGTTAATATTTGTCATACGGAGTCAAACTGCCTATACGTTATTTTTTATAATGAGTATAAACGTTTACTAAATATTATTATAGGAATCGGGGGATCGTATGAAAAGTTAGATTTCCAAAATTTTAAAAACTGAACTTTTTAACATCTGAAGATGCCAAAACATAAAAATTTCGATCATTTAAAATATGTTTGTAATATGAAGTATATGCCTATGACCAACGGCTGCAGAAATGGAGGCTGTATAAAGACTGATGGATACTATATAGAAAATTCCAATAAGTGAATATAAAAATATAAATATAATAAAAATCCAAACACAAAAAACGAAGGGAATGAATTAACTGATCATCATGCGCACAGCAGCAAGAATAAATCAAGACTCTTACTGATTTCTAAATACTCAGTAGTAAATCAGTTATTGAAAAATAAAATTAAAAAAAAAAATATCTGTATACTTGCTCTCAATCACACAAGGATCACTTGACAGATGTCCACGGTATGTAGGTTTCTATGTAAATAGGCAATGGGTTCAATTAGGTTACATATCCTCAAAAACACAATTGTTTACTTTGCTTCAGAATGCGAAAATTAGATATGCAGAACTTTGAATGGGACAGTTTTTAGTAAATGAATAAATATGAGGCAGGTGGTTCCCATTTATTGGGGTACTAGATGCCTGTAGCACTTTAATAAATTATGAGAGGCAATACTGTTATAAATAAGGTACTGGCAAGAATTAGAAGGAATCCATCCTGGATTCAGCTTGATTTAGTCTTTGTATAGATGATTTTCCAAGTAAAGTTAGTGTCATTACTACACACTGCGTTAATGGCATTGGTCACGAGCCAAACAAATAAAGCCCTGTGAGAATAGTCTTCTCACACCACGCAGTTTGCCAGCATCACAAACTTTAATCTTAATTGCGGAACTGCACGTGTGTATATAAGCACCGGTCAGACTGTTTTCTTCCCTTCTTCGCCCTTGTCCTACCTGCAGTCGCTTGGCAATTAGCGACGCCCTACGTTGTGCGGTTTCGTGTTCCTGCATGTCGCGCTAATGGAGTTTCATCGTTCCTGATATTTTCACATGAAGTGTCGCCGTATTTTTCATAAAAGTTCAGAACTAAGGGTCGCGATTGATTTGATAAAAGGCTCAGTGTAAAAACCATCTGCCACGATACCGTACCAAAAACATCTCAGCGATACTCTAGGATTCGACTCCAGAATGTGCATTACTAGAGTGTGGACCCGTGATTTTTTAAGGGTTAAAGAATTGAACGGAAAAAAAAAGATCTGCACATGTACAACAATATTGGGGCACTGCACGAAATTACTTGAAAAAATTGTGACTGAATATAGTTCGATGAGACGGATTATATTTATCTCCGATAGTCAGTTTCGGCATAGCCTACTATTCCATTGATTTTATCACGTTTGTTCTTAAGTATATATTTTGATATTTTATATGTGTGTGTAAATGTTCCATATTTAATCCAGAAATGGTGTTTGATAAAATAAATGTGAGATTAGAAAAAGAAATTTGTCTCCCAAGTCTCATGCATGTGTTGATTGGGAATTAAAATTAATTATTCTTGTCACTAGGGTTTAATTTGCAATGTACTACCACTAAGAATTTAGGCCAGTAAATATTGGGCACATGTAAATTTAATTAAGGATTTCTAGAGAGATATTTGGTTAGATTGTCACATTACAACGCCTTATAGTAGTGCACACCACTACAAGCCCCAAAAATCAATTGCAGCATATGAGAATAATATTTATTTCGTTAACGACTAGAGCCAAAAATGTTAAGTTGCAGTCTCATTGTTTTCACACTAAATGTAGATTCATATCAAGGCAAGTTTCCGTATATTTGTTAAAGGGAATAACTTATAAAATAAATATAAGTAAAAAATCTTTTATGAAAGCTCTTTCCCTGAATTTGCTATTTACATAATAAAACCCCAAACTTTATAAGATCTACGATTCAAAAATTCATTACTGTATAATAAATTCTGATTTACCTTTATTGCTGAGGAAGACACAAGTGAAGCTAAAAGTCCTGGAAAAGAAACGAAACTCATCTTAGTAAAATTAAATTGCATGAAAACTATTTTTAAGCCTTATTAAGATATTTAAAAGTTTTTAATATTTGTATAAAGAACATTTAGTAGCATATTGCTTCGAATAAACAGCAACTGTTTTTACAATGCATGAATATACAGAGAACCTCTCACGGTAAATAGTATTATGTTCCTAAGACGACCACCTATGAAATACCTAAACAACGACATTTAATATCATATGCAATCATATTTTGTAGAAGATTGAATCTGTTGAGAATCATAGATGATTGTTTCTTGGAAATTTCACTACAATTCCTGCTAATTTAAAATTTTATTTTAACAAAACTATTTTTTATAAAAATTAAACGAATTCCTTTTTGATAAGATCAGGAGGATTTTTAAGTAGCAGATTAGAAAAAATAATTTCTTTTATTCCATTTCCTTCTATCAATACGGAACAGGAAAGACATAAAATGTTAGCAAATTCCTGTTTTCTGGTTACCTACTTCTCTATGCAGTAATAAAATATCATTTCAAGTCTATAAAAGTCTTTTTTGCTATTGCCTGAATGCTAGAAAACGGATTAGGCAATGAAAAGAGCTTCTGCACTGAATGCTATCAGAAAAACTGAAAAGAAGAAAGACTAAAGAGTAAGAATTCATGTTTATATGATGTGGAATTCCCTGATCCTTCCTTCATGGATGCAAGTCTGCAGTAGCAATTAAATTATGATAAGAAATAATTTTAATAAATTAGATTAAATGCACAGGCGTACACTAGAATTGCCATTAATATTGTTCTTACCATTGACTTAAAATACTAAATTTTTCGTAAAAGTAAAGCACACGAAAAAGCTGCCGATATGAAAAATTATGTAAGCTGCTGTTAATTGAGAAACGTAATTCAAGATAAAGCTTGTTAATGTAGCCAAAAATGGTGCTGATATTTATTCCATTATGGATACAATTGCTCAGAGTCACTGTAAAATGAAAATTTCGCAAAGGGGCTATTTTTTTCGCTAAGATTATAAGCTTTTTCAAACTAAGATATAATAATTTGAAATGAACCATGCTGCATTGTTAATTTCGTGAAGGTTTGAGAATTTCCACTTCACAGAAACTTTACAAAGACACAGGAAGAATGGTCGAGAATCAGTTCACGATTTAAGGAAAGTGCACTATTTTTGCCAATGAGAGAATGCCCATTCCTTTTAAAGCGAAGATTGAATTTTTGCATAATAAAATTAGGAAACGAAGTTCTTATTATTACGCAACATAAAAAACGCTTTGCAACATAAACAATCGTATTAACCTTTTGAAAGCAATTATTGCAAGATTAGAATTTTTTGCCAGAAATCTTTAAATAGCATTCTACCAATGAAAAGGAGCGGCATGGAAAACTGAAATAAACAAATTCTTGAGTGCCTCATTCGTATAAGCGTAAAACCTAGAAAAGAATGCTTTCGTTCTTAGCGACTATATTTCTCATTTCCCAGTATTTTTTTTTTTTTTTTTTTGTTTAAAAATGAAACTTTAGTGAAAGGTAAAATTTGAATTTATTAATTCTTATTCAATACTTAAAAAGTATTACTATTATATTAAGAAAAACTTCTACTGCTAGTTTAAAAATAAAGTAATTGTTGTTTTTCTTCTAGAATTAGCGAGTTATTGATTTAACTGAAATTGAATTAACATCGTGGAGATTAGATCAAGAGCTAACAAGAATCTTAACAATCAAAATCGGATTATTTTCACATAATTAAGTGATCGAAATGATATTAATACAATCTTTCTATTAGAAATTTCTGTTTGAGGCAGCCCGGGTCCAGTCCAAGGAAACAACAGTGGTTACGCTTTCATTGCTTTCCAAAAACTTTCAATAGCTATGATTTAAATTAATTCAGTTTTTTTCAAATTCAATTTTAGTTAATATTTTCTTTTTGAAGTTTGCTTTTTTCCCATTTAAACGGAATGTAGAATAAGGCAGTGAAGTACTTCAGTGCGATTACTAATAAAAAGAGTATATTTGTTTGTATTGTAAATGCAATACATTTAAATGCGTCTTTAGAACATAGAATTTAAGAATCTCATTTTTTGAAAAAAAATCAAAGTCATTTTAATAACATTTCCCTGCTTTAAAACGGATTAAAATGCATATCCATCAAGAAAGAACCATGCTCAAGAAAAGGTTTTGTACTGTCTAATTTCTACCAAATTTAAAACATTTTTAAGTAATTTTTTTTATAGTTTGACAAAAAACGTAGTAAGCATTGATCAGATAAATAATGTAATATTTTAACAAAATCATTCAATCGCACTGAAGACTTTGTACACAATGTTTGGAATGGAAAGCGAAATGTTCTGTGTTCCTTAATATGTCTTCTTAACAACTTTGTAAAGTCATTATTTTGAAGCAAGAGACATGAAAAATGAGCAATGCCCTCGCCAGTACTTGAACCTGGACCTCGCTACTGTTAAACCGCGAAGGCATGCTGAAAGGAGAGAGAATATATACTGTTCCTTTAGGACACCCAATCGTCAAGCCTCGGTGGTGACGAATTACTGTCCACCATCTTTTAGTTCGGGCACCACAGTAAAGTAATTTGATTATTTTGAAGCAGAAGACATGAAAAATGCCCCCGTCAGGATTCGAACCTGGATTTCTCGAATACGCGCCGAGCTACCGTTACACGACAAAGTTATGCTGGATGGAATGAGAAAATACATTATAACTTTTTAATAGATACGTAATTTTTCAGAAATAAAATTTTCAAACTTTAACTACATCTGCAAAAAATTATTAAAGTAAATATAACTTACCACACAGAAGCAATTTCAAAAACGTCTTCTGTGCACCCATCATTTGACGATTCTATCTACAGAAAAGAAAAAAAGGATGTCATATTAATGTCGTAAAAATCATATTGCTGTATGTTTCTAAAATTCTAATATACTAAATAACTGGCGGACGTTTGTTGCTTGATTCTCTCATTAAGGTCGTATAGCAAGTTACTTATCTTTTAAAGAAGAGAACTTTGAGCAACAATTTATTCAAGAATGAGTTTGTCATATCAGAAATAAAATTGCCTTCATATTATCAACTACATATCACTATGGTAATAAAAGTCACTTGTAAAATGCTACAAACGTTGTGTATATCATACACTTGTATCAAAAACAATTTCTGTTAAACATTATTTAGAGAAGCACATAATATTTCAAATGAAAAATATAACAAATGAAATGCTATTGTTTCAAATTAGACATGAAACTCAATGCTTTCATCGGGAATGGTCAACTCCTATCTGTCATTTAACCATCTCAATACCTAGGATATTCTCAAGCTACACCGCATAGGCCGACCGACTTTAAACCCGCAACAACCCATCCTAATTTTGATAAAGAATACCCGAGGGATGAATGCAAAGGTCTGTCATTCCTCTTCCACTATCAGGTGTCTGGACAAGACTGTTGGTTCGACAGTACTTTAAGTGCCCCATGCCGCATACATACGATATACCTACACGATCAGAAATATCAAGCCTTCTCCGGGATTCGATCCTGGGCCTCACGATATGGTATCCAGCAGATCTAGCCACTATTTAGCAGCTTTACACATGATGTCCAATAATGTTTATCAAATCGAATAGAATCTGATATATTTCCCAACTCATTTCGCTTTAAAAAACAAATCATAGCGCTGGTTTGATAGAGTGTTCGGAGTGTCGCAAGTCGGTTGGTATTTCAGTTTGGAGAGCTTCCTAAAGCAGCGGTCGCCAACCGGTGGTCCGTGGTAACTTTTTTGCTGGTCCGCAGAAAATTTGGGACATTATTTATATTTTTATGAAGATTCAGTTTAAAAATTGGCTACTAACAAAACCTATTATAAAATATGGATTGTCCTTTTTTTAAATTTTAGCTACTACTTTTATCGAAATTCCTACTGAATTTAGCTACTTTTGCAGGTGTATCTAGCGGCATTTGAAAGTGAGAGTTGGCATCCATGGATATGCTGCTATCAATATTTGCGCGAACTGGAATTCTCTTTCCTCTTGAATTACAAACATATATTTGGTATTTCTCCCACTTTCCAAGCGTCCTTCGTGGTGTAGTGGTTCTGCACGCTGGACCGGTATTCCAGAGGTCCGTGGTTCGATTCCCGGCGAAGGCGATTGCTAATTTTTCATCTCTCTGGCTTCCGAAAAATCCTAATGTCTCTACAGTGGCGCCCGAACTAAAAAGGGTTGTGGATGATGATTCTCCACACCAAGGATTTGGCAACTAGGTCCCCTAAAACCCTAGTAGCCCTTTAAAAAGATGAGTATATAAGATATTTCTCCCCCTTTCTAAGATTCCTTCGTGGTGTAGTGGTTCTGCACGCTAGGTCGGTAATCCAGAGGTCCGTGGTTCGATTCCCGGTGAAGGCGATTGCTAATTATTCATCTCTCTGGCTTCCTAAAAATCCTAATGTCTCTATACATATGCTATTATAGTCGTTAATAATACAGTTTTTCTCTATGTCAATAGGCAACCTGATGAATTTTTATTAGAACCATCTTCGTTCTTGTTTATAATTCTATCACTGGAAGTTTCCGTTTTTATTTTGTCTAACTGTTGATCGATGGCGTCATTGCTGAGTAAGCGATGATTATTATGTTTACAATAATTAAAAATTGGCGGCATGACACTATCAGTTTATCGGTATTACTTTGCGTTTGCCGATTTATTTTTGCTTTTCGTGAAGTTCCTTTTCAGTGATATGGAAATATGAAGCTTTCTGTACAAGAAGGTAAGATTTTTGTACTTTTCATGTAATTTTTCAACGTGAACGAAATATGTGTAGTTTGCTGATTATTACTGTATAAATGTATTTACATTTTTTTTCTTAATTCATATTAGTGATCCGTCAAATAGAAAATTATATATGTAGTGGTCCGCGAAATTTTAAGGGTTGACGATCGTTGCTTTAAAGCCTAAATGAACTGAATGGTAGCCTAAATGAACAGGAGATAATGATAACCGTGGCATTGTATATCATCCCCCATTAACACATAATTCTGAAGCCTCTCATGTCCTTTGATTTTGAGGAATTTGCCAAATTTTCACAATGCCGTTTCTGACAAGTGTGGATACAATAGATGCTGGTTTTTCAAAACAGGTTATACCATTAATGAAAACAATCATAAGTTCATACGACACACCTTCACTCTGGAGGATCTCATGGAAAACTTATAGGTTTTCTGGAGTTCAAATGCAGTGATTGCAAACATTTCCTTTTTCATTTAAGCATAAGCTGAGCTGATTTCTCCGAAGGATAGCTAAGAAATATTCTCTATCATTCGCATCAGAAAATAAAGTGGGAATATAACACAAATTACCTGTGTTCCCATGATTTGGTATACTGCGGCATTCTGAAACTTCTTAAATATGCTATCGCATTACACCACGCATCTTCAGACTTGCATGGGAATATGGAAGGCATAATTCTCAAGCAACAACTGTTCGTGATTTTTTTTTAATTTACGCTCTTTCGTGGAGGTATATTTGAATAAATCCATGATGATCGACATCTTCGAGGAAAGAGTCCTCGTTTATGAATCAGTTTGCGGTTGTGTACTTTCCTTTCGAAATTCTCAATTCTTCAATTTCCTTTTTTCTTGTTCACAGCTTTGTTGATATAGGCAGAATATTTGAACGAAATGAGACTACTTTCCTGATTTAGAGCTCAATAGCAAGTACTGTCATAGGATAATTTCGGTCTCAAATTATATTATTATTAGTTCTTATCACAAGTTACTGTTATAAGAATATCTAGTGACATTTTTTGAAACTAGTTAAAACAGTTAGTAACAACATTCTTTGAAGTATTTATTGAATACATTTCTTCTCTTGCACCAACTATGAAACTCTTTATAAAATGTCTTTATATTTTGCTGTCCTTTATTTTAACAATATTGAATTTTAAGTTCGCAGTTTACTCGGTATAATTTCTCGCATGTACTGTTTCGAAATCATAATGATATAAGTTTATTGTTTATACTCTATCTTCTATTTAACTTCTTATTTTCGTATTTTTGTCACCTATAAAAGTTTATGGCTTCCACTTAATTAAATTCAATGGTTGTATTCAGAGTTACTGCTAAACTAGCTATCGGAAAGACGGAAAAATTGGCAGGTAAACAAAATCACAAAGAAATGTAGTTATTATAATCAGTCAGAAAAGTCAAGATATTACGGCAAAAGCTTTATTTAGACGGAACAAAGGACGCAAAGGCTAACGTTGAAAACTCTGTCGTTTCCTTTACCCCATATTTCATTCAGATTATTTTTCTGTTTAAAATTTTACCGGTATGAAACGAAAAAAATTCAAAAGTAATGTTAAAATAGCAATAAAAGTCAAAATCTAACAGCAATTGTGTGCACTCCAGATAAGTCATAACCTTCAGTTTGAGACGCTATAAAACGTATAACCGTTGCCTTAATGGAAATATGACGTCAGAAAGCATAACTGCCTATTTGGAAGAGTGCACGAAGAGAAACAGAAAGCAATAATTTTATTAGATGATACTGATGGCGATAAATTGATAAATGTTCATTGAAGAATGTAAAAGGAATATAGAAGACACTTGGGTATGCGTATCTTCATCAAATATACAAATAAACTCTACTAAAGACATTAGCTGCAAGAATATTCCATTCATAAAAATATATCCAATCTAATTTTGATTCTTTTACATATGTACTAGATCTGTATTTGTATTCGTATATCTATTTAACAGAGTATTTAGTGATTGGCTGTTACAAGCTTTCTTTTCTCAAATATTGATTCCATAGGTATGCTTTCATTAACAAAATTTCTAAAATATGGAGAAGAATTTTATGAGAATAGTTTCAGCAATAGGAGGAGAGTAGATCGTTTATGAAGATACAAGATTAAACTTTTTATGCGGGCAATGTCGTATAAAACCTCTAAGTAATAAAATATGCATTATGTCTTAGTTACGAACTAGAGAAGTTTGCTTCATTAATTTATGGTAGTGCATAAAATAAAAGTGCTTATTTAGTGTTGGCTGCGAGAAATATTAATTACCAGTATCAGACTGGATTTTGGAAGGCACGGTTGCGCAAATTTTTCCATTTAACTTATAAGAACATCATGGATATTTTAGTAACTGAACGTCTTATTCTACAAGGATCGTATCAAATCTAAAGTTTGTGTAAATAAAATCTTTTTATTCCTATTGCTGTAACTGTGCATATAAAATTCTGTATCGTATTTTGGGAAAAGCTGTAAACAGAAGTATGTGTCTAGAACAGATATTTGAAGAAACAACGTCCGTAGCTTCAATTTTCCAAACATTGTAGTATCTGTAAATATCTACATGTGTGAAATAATTTACATAGTGTTGACAGTTTAAAATATAATCAAGTAATGATATTAATTTTTATGTTTAGTCACATGATAAATTACGTATATTAATAAAATAATAATCTCATCACAGTATTTGGCCCTTTTTGACTATCTTTTTTTATTATACACTCATGTTCATAAATTAAGGATAATTCGGAGTCACGCGGAAATCGAACTCTAAAATAAATGTATCACCTATAAAATCACTACACACATCTTCAAGAATCATATGCAAATTTCAGGAAGTAACCAGATGACATCGATGGTACATCACAATGACGAGAGTGCAAGAGTGTGATATATAAGGAATACAGGCAAAGAAGTAAAATTGTTCGCAGGCGCTTTATAAGCATTTCAGTGCAATAACCGAGTAGTTATGACACAAAACTGGAAGTATCAGACGAACTTGGAATTGCCCAGAGTGTGATCTCCAGGCTTTGGCAACGATTCCAAGATGATGGTAAT